ATACAGAATGACATCCCACAGCATCAGGTTGTTCTTATTCAGTGTGTGTGTGTGTGTGTGTGTGTGTGTGTGTGTGTGTGTGTGTGTGTGTATAAAACACCGATAGAAACCACTCTTAAGGGCAGGTTCCATGACCAGCAGCAGACGGCCAATACAAAACAAACTCAGTAGAAACTTTATGAGTTGGTTCTTTTTCTCCTAATGTTTTGTCAGGGCTTTTTTTTTGTAACATATATATATATATATATATATATATATATATATATATATATATGTGTGTGTGTGTGTGTGTGTGTGTGTGTGTGTGTGTTAAACATATAACATATATATATATAATAACTTAATAATATAATATAATATACATATAACATATATATATATATATATATATAATAGCTTCTGGTTTTGTGTTTTTTATGGGATTTATGTGTGTATGAATGTGTGTGTCTCTGTATCTATATGTGTTTATTTGTATCTATTCCTTCTGTTTGTTTGTTTTGCCCTATTTCAGTTTATTTGTCTTTGTCTTATTTTATTTTATTATTATTCTTTAAATGTCAGACAGAAATGGGCATGGTGGTGTGGAGGTTCTTGGAGGAGTTGGGTAAGGGGAAACCATAATCAGAATATTTTGTATGAAAAAGTCTATTTTTAATAAGAGAAAACTAGAAAAAAATACTGCTGAGGGAGATGAATGATAAATATAATCATCTGTTTATCATCTTGGTGAGCTTTAGATAGCAATGCTAAAATTCCACTTTGTCAATGCTAGTGCAGACACATAGAGTTTAGCTATTGTATAGGTTTATATATTTCCTTCTTCCAACAGAACTTTCTTCAGTGATTATATCAATACACTTTCTCTCATTTTTATATTTTACACAAGAGGCCAGATCCTTGAGAAAGCACCTATTATTGCCAATGTACCACATACAACTCTGTCCCATTTTCACAGTTACAGAGAGATTCATGGATTAAAAACAATTATTTATATATAATTATTTATTTATATATAATATACTATATATATAATCATCTATATATATAATCTTCTCCTAGTGTGAACATGTTTAATGTAGGTATTTTGTAGTTTCATCTACTAAATTTCAAATGACTCTTAAGGATGGAAAATGAAGGAAAATAACTTTAAATTTCAAAGTCACATGTAGTTTTGGAAAGACCCAGAAAAAGATTTTAAAATCTTATCTCAAAATTAGAATTGGTCTTCATTGCTTCAAGAAGTACAATACATGGTACTAGCATTCTCCTAGCTGTGTTGGTAAAGCATCAACAGCACTGAGATCAGGCCATAGTCACAGTTTCAATATATTTCTAAACTTTTGTCACTATTTGTATGCAATCTGAAACTCTTCTGCACTTCTTATGGCAGTCACATGCTTAAACGCATTGTGTGCATATTTCTAATAACAATTCTGTTTATTCTCTATTAGACAGGAAAGAGAATTTTTTATTTAATTATTTTAACTTTTATTGATTCTCTGTGGATTTTACATCATGCATTCGTCCCCTCAAATCTGCCCTCTGCCCTTGCAAACCTCCACCCAATACAAAACAAAATTTAAAAGGTAAACCAAAAACCAAAACAAACAAAACAAAAACAAAAATAAAGAATCTCATCTTGGAAGCTGTACTGTAGCCCAATGAGTCACACAGTTTCCCCTTTAGTCCATTCATCTTTACTTGTAAGTGTTTGTTACTGTGAGTCACTGGTCTGGTTTGAGGCCTCTGAGTTGTGCTATGCAAATTGATAATGGGCTCTCACTGGGACTCCTCTTGGGTATCTTTTTGTTGTCCTGTGTTCATGGAGGCCCTGCAGTAATGGATCTGTAGATTCGTCCCTTTCACATGCTCCAAGAGTTCAGATAAGGTGGATGTTGAGGTGTGCTAACTCAGTCCTGGTTCTAGGCCTGGGTGCTAGCTGGGTTTACCTGCCCACTAGTTTTCCCTCATCATCACTACCAGGGCAATCTCTCCAGCACTGCCTCAGCGAGCTCCCCCAATGCAGCCTCAGCAAGGAGCAGGGGCAGTTCTCTTTCTCTCAGGTCCTAGGATCCACCTTACCTACACTCACACCACCATGGCCAGCTCTGCTATTTTGCCCAGGCCAGGTGCAGGGCCCTCTCTCAATTGCTGTAGGAGGCACATTAGGGGTGGCCCTTTACCCATTACCATCTGTGGCTGATGAGAGAGCTGGCCCTGGGGTCAGGACAGTGAGAGAGCTAGCCCTGCCTCTCACCAGCTGCAGGAGAGCGAGCACTGCACCCTCCCTGGGCAGCACATTCGACCTAACCCCGTTGTAGGGCCACATGTGAGACAGTCCTGAGGGCACGAGAGTAAGAGAGCTAACATCTTTTTCTCACCTGTGCCACCACACAGCAGATGTGAAGAGGTGGGGTCAGGTCTCCTGCTCTCATGCCCTAAGGGCCAGCTCACCTGCACCAACAGGGACAGCTTTGGTAGTGAGGCGTCCATGGTGAGGGCCATCTTTCCAGAGTGCAGGGGCCAGCTCTCTTTAAAAGCTACAGTTTTAGAGAGGGGAAAAGCCAGTTCAGTAAGGCCCTTGGATTTCAACACACATGGTTTCTATGACCCCTGTAGCAATAGGAGCCACAGACATCACCCCAGACCCTGGCTGCTGCAGGGCCACGGACTGAGACATGATCCTAGGCTGCAGCCTGGGCCTGGATGTCTATATGGCCCCATGTGGCAGCAGAGGCCACCTAGATTAGTATGGCTCCAGCAACAGCATGGCCCTCAGACATTGACATGGTCTCAGGTGACTAATCCAACTCCAGTCATCTACATGGCCCTTGGTTGAAAGGAAAACGGCGCTGGTGGCTGGCACTGGTTACTGTGTGGAAAGGTCATGATCATGAACCCACTTGTACCTTTTAGAGCTTTATTAGTAGGGAAAGGGGGAGGAGAGAGAGAGAGAGAGAGAGAGAGAGAGAGAGAGAGAGAGAGAGAGAGAGAGAGAGAGAGAGAGAGAGAGAGAGAAGCACCAGGTCTGGTGGAGAGGAAACACAGAGAGACGAGGGAACATGGCACCGCCTTATAAAGGCCAGGATGCACCTGCACACACAGGCCCACGCACAGAGATCACGCGGTCACGTCCGTGGGATTATGTGACCAGGTAACCATGGGGCATGGGTCATGCAGGACATATGACCTGGAAATGACTAGGCGGAGATGACCGGGCATACACGACCATGGGGCATGGTTGGAATTCCTATCATTGGCGATAACAGGAGCTATAGACATCAAGTCCGACCCTCGCTGCTGTAAGGGCTGCGGACCAGACACGACCTTTGGCAACCCTGGCCTGAACGACACCATGATCCTGGGTGACAGTACAGGCCACTCAGATTAGTATGGCCCTGGTGGCATCATGGCCCTTGGATATCCACATGGCCGCAGGTTACAGTCTAGACCCCGAGCATCCAGTCCTAGGCAGTAGCTCAGGCTTGGATGTCACCATGGTCCCAGGTGGCAGCACAGGCCAATTGGATCGGCATGGCCAGGGACCCCGTGCAGGCTCCTGGTTATGTCCTGCCCACCCCAGCTGCAAGGCATGGCACAGAGCTGCTGCTTTTCTTCCCTTGCATGCCTCGGTCTCAAAATTCCTGCTTTTTTTCTTTTTGTTGTTGTTGTTGTTTGGTTTTTTGAGACAGGGTTTCTCTGTGTTGCCCTAACTATTCTGAAACTTGCTTGTAGACCAGGTTGGCCTCAAACTCACAAAGATCCATTTACCTCTGCCTCTGGAACACTGGGGTTAAAGGCGTGTGCTACCACCACCCAAATTTTTCTTGAAAAACTAACATCTACCTCAAACAAATTTTTAATATGTGACTTAGAACTGACATACTAGACTTCTAAAAGAGGTGGTAATTCATCATTGAAATCTATATACACTTAGTTTTGGTTACACATTCCTCTGATCTTTCCTCTTCATCAGCTCATTCTCTATCTGCTTATATATTTCTCCCCGCAGTGTTCCTGTCCTCTACGCTCATATCCAGTATAGTTTACTAAATAGAAAAAAAGTCATTGAGGGCAGGGGAATAGACAATAAGGAAAGAGAAGAGTATAATATATTTCATGAATTCTAGTCATGGTTTTTATAATTTCTTTAGAGTATTAAGACATTATCAATGAAAAACTGCTATAAACATTGTATAACAGAAGAATATATTTACAATATTTAGTTATATTTCTTATTTTCTTTGATAAAATAATGTTTGATTTTTCTTCTAATACAAATGTGCTTAAATTTGAAACTTTTATTCCAGGACATAAATACATTTTTTTAATTTAAAGTTTTATTGTTTTTGAGAATTTCATGCATGAGTACTGCATTTGTATCATTTTTACCTACCCTCTGCCCCCAACTCCTCCCACCAATCTTTCTTAAATTCAGAACCTTCTTTTGCTATAATTATCATCACAAACACACACACACACACACACACACACACACACACACGACAACCTACAAGTCCATTTAGTTTTGCTTGTATGTACCCATATTTAGAATTGACAGCATTAGACAGCTTATCAGAAATCTAAAAAGATTTGATACATACATGTGGTACAAAGAAAAATGGGAACAGCAATGATTTCTTGAAACAAGCTATGTTTTAAATAATATTTAAACTTATTATGTAGAGGATCAATAAGCATTTGTATCAGTTATACCTGGCTTCATAATTCTAAAGAATCTGATTTATATTTTAAATAATGCTATGGTTTTTATGAAAATAATATTAAGGGAATGCTATAGACAGGTTTTCTTGTACATTTTATACATGTCCACAAACACAAATAATCTCTTAATTTTGTTGACATAAACATAAATACTTTCTTGAAATTTCTTTAGAAACAATTCACACACAGTCCATTTTTCAAAAGCAATAGGAAGCACAAAATGCTGCAGACTCTGCTACTAGTCACACCACATCTCTGATATTGGCGGAAGGACTTCAAGGTTTTGGTTCTTTCAGCCAGAGCCTTGTTCGCACCTGCACCATCGCCAACACCAAGGCCTGTTTGATCTTCTTGTTTCCCCATATCAGTATGCAGGAATGGCTTGAAGGATACAGGGTGCCAATAACCTGGCAAATCAGGCGGATCTGCTTATCCAGAGGTGTCATATAACTGTAACCTGATAGGATAAGAGACAGAATGAACATGGAAAATAACAACAGAAAGGAGATCACAGCTTGCAAAGCTTTAATGTGGGCCATAGTGCTTGCATCTTGGAATCCTTTTCTGTAAAGCTTCATTGTCTGAAGGTGTTTACACAGAGAATAGATTAACAGCAGAAGACAGATCATAGATGTGGTGAAGGGAATGACATTGTTCACAGTGAATGTCGTCAAAAGTGTAAGGTTTACGACATAAGCCAGTTTGGGCTTCCCAGTCAAGTTGCCTCTGTGACCATCCACTTGGACTTTCCCACATGTGGCTGCCATCACAAGATTAGGAAACAAAATCACCAAACTCCCCAAAAGAACAGCTACAATGACACTCTTAATTTTTCTCTTCAGGCCAAGAAAAAGAAAGTTCGAGAAATTGCCTATCTTCAGCAAATACAGTATGCTGAGTATAGCTGCCAGCCAGGTATTAAAATGGTTGATTACAGCCCAGGCAACACAAATAATAATTTTTACTTGTATAGTTAATAAAGCTGGATTAAACACAGTTGAGCACCAACTCATTAACACTAACAAAAGAAAACCGATCCTGAAGATGGCCAGAGCAGTGAGAATTCTATCAGCTACGGAGATTTTTCTTCTCTTGATGCAGGCAGTAAAGTTCACCAGAACAATGAAGACATTGGCAAAGCTTCCCAGAGTAATTTCTGCCACCATTGCGATGGTGCCAATGCTGAGAAAAACACTCATCACGTCTCAGCAAATAATATTTAAAAGACAAAAACGAAATGTAGCTCTCGTGTCACTGGTTGTGATTCTGTGAACACATCCCTGTGCTCTTCATTTATGGTCAGTGAAGATTGCACTGTGTTTAAATGCCGTGGCCAACGTCAAATTTGAAAGCAACCCCATGTGCTGGTGAATGAGTTTGGTGTTGTTTTTATAGAAACAAAAATGCTTGCAAAACAGTTCAAATGGATTTCTACTTATACAGTCTTTTAAGTACTAGTGTACTTCAGGGCTGAGGTTAGAGGGAAGCTACATTCTCATTTGCAAGCATGCAAATAAACAAATATATGGTTTTATGGTTTAAAACAACTTTCTCCTGCTTAGGCCCACCATAATTTGTATTCATCCATGTTACTGATTTGCTATTAAAATTTTAAAACTCAGTACAGAGATTATGCAATGAGTTTGTAAATCCTTTATTCTATCTTGGTTATACATAGAATTATTGCCAATATGGATTCCTGTTAAATGACAGATTTATATATTTAAAAATTGGAAAATTTCCTAATCAAATTGTCAAGACCTTTGCATGTGACACCAGGAAGGCTAATACTTGATGAAGTCTGACAACTGATGAAAACATCTATTACCTAATTTTCCTCAAAAGCTTGTGTACACAGTGCTTGCATGTGCTCACACATGTGCCCTCACCTCTCATGCATATCTCATAGATAGAAGAATCATTGTACTGCACTCTTCTAAATTGAAGACTATTTTCAAAGATACCATATAAGTTTAAAGTAGTCATTTGTTGTACTGCAAGTCATTTGATCCACCATAAATATACGTAACATATAAATATTTCCAAATATATGTACCATAGTTAGATATTTATATAATTGTTCTATTAGGTAAAGTTAATATTTAAATATATTTAATTCAAATATTCAACAGTGTTTTTAAAAATTCTTTGTTAGACTCTTTTTAAAATTTATTTTATCATTTTACGTGTATGAGTGTTTTACCTACATGTATGTTGTTGTATCACCTGTGTGCCTGGTGCCTGAAGGGTAGGAGCCTCCGTGTGGGTGCTGGGAACCAAATCCAGTTCTTTTTCAAGAACAAGTGCTCCTAACCTCTGAGCTAACTCTCTAGCCCCAACAGTTTTCCAAAGATTTCTCAAAGCACATGTGTTTCTTACTGTGGAGTTAAGGCTTCATATATAAATACTCAGTTTTTATGTAATTGATTTTGATAACTTTGTTTTTAAGATTAGTAGATGTTAAAATAGGTTAATTTATGAGTTCTATTTTTTTCAATTTTTATAATATAATTGGTTTTAGAGAAGGCTGTTGAAGTCACACTACAAAGATGGAAAACCAGGCACTTGGGTTCACACAGCTGTAATATGGACTTTTTTACAACTGCTTGTTACTTTAGTACACTTACCAGTAAAATACAAATAAAAATAGTATCTTCATTATCAACAACAGTGACAATCTCCTCCCAAATTGAAAACAAACAAATTCTTAAAATCTTAAAATATTTCAAATAGAAACTGCTTTTTCAGAACATTTTTCTATAAGAAAAAAATTACAAATTCGTCCAATAATAACTATTTTCCAAAAGATTAAGCACACTTGCTGTGTTTACTTTGGAGATGGGGTTAATGTTCTTCTGACATGTTTTGTTTTATAAGATTTGGTATTGCTGACCTAAAATTTCAAAACCTCTTAACCTGGTTTACTACTAATAGAGCAATATTATTCCCATATAAAACACACAAATGTAAATGTGTTTGCTCAAGTAAACTAAATAATAATCTTTAGGCAGATAGCTGTCAGGTGTGATAGCGCATCAGTGTATCCCAGCACCTGAAAGGCAGAAAAAAGAGATGACTTCAAGTTGGAGGACAGCTTGGCTGGACAGTGATTCCCATGCCCACCAAAGCTACATGCAGAGACCTTGCCTCAAAACAAAACAAAAATTAATATATAACAATGATTATTTCTGTGGGATATTATCTTAAATTAATTTCTGCATTCATATTTAAGACCTTAGATTAATGCTAAACAGTAAATGAAACATTTGATGAAATGTTAAAATATAGTTGCCAAGATTAGTTCATTGAACTATAAGATCATATATAGTTCTTATTTTATATGTTGTGCAGTAACTATTTTCTAATACCCACATACTTACTGGCCTGAAGGAATTGAGGACAGAATTCAGGGTCAGAGTGTCTGTTCCCTGTTACGTTATCTGCTTATCTTTCTAAAAAGCATTAAAAGTTCTCCACTTACATTTTCCACCAACTGTAGAGAGCTGGGATTTTCAAATTTGACCCAGAACTTATAGATAATATCTTTGGCAGAGATAGTCCTGTTAGAGCCATTTGGACTTTACTATAAATTACATATTTTTACTAAATTTTTTGTCCTTTTTACTTTACTTTTTCATATAGCATAGATTGGTGATGATTATTTTTATACTCTCATCTACAGAATAAAAATGATGGAGGAGGAATATGATGATGTAATTAAGGGAAGCACTGCAATCATCAAAAATAATAGATTTAGGAGAAGATGTAATTATGAAGGTAAACAAAATTTTGCATTTCTTAATTTCAAAGCTTGACACATCATACATAAGTGGGTAGAATATAATCTACCTACCATGATAATTTATTTTCACAACTAGTATGTCAATACTAAATAACATTTATGGAAGGATGTAATCCAGGGGAGATGTTTAGCTCAGATAAAAGACTAATACAGACCAGATAAGTGATTTCACCCATATCCAGCTTAGTGAACCAATGAGTTTTTTTGGGTTGCTTATGGGAGGATGGGTCAGGGGTGACTTATAGTAACATGGGTGTCTCTGGATAGGTGCATCCATGAGCAGCCTATCTCAGTACCAGTCAGGACTTAGGAAAGATGCTAGACTTGTTAATAGCTCAACAGTAAGAAAGTCTCCCCTCCCCAGTGATTTTTGTTGATTAAATAACCTTAGAGAGAGGACTTGAGCCTTGTGCATCCCAGGAGCATTCTGAACCTTGTGTTTACTTTCCTGGTATTATGAGCTTCTCCCATTCCTCCAAGTGGGGCTGTTTTATCCTAAAGGAGATAGCAATAAAACAGAGGCTGCTAATTTGCCAGTGTTTGGACTGAGTTCTTACACCAAGATCAACAGACATGCTGTAACTCCACATCATGACTCCAAACAGAGTTGTTAAAATGAGCAGGAGGGCAGATAGAAGACAGAGGAAGGACAAGAAGAGGAGGAGGAGGAGGAGGAGGAGGAGGATCAGAAATCCCTCCAACTGGCCAGTTTTAAAAATTATGATTTTTAAGAGAAAAGGTCCATCAAATTTTACTTCTTAAAAAAATAATTGAAATGATCAATTTTTTGATCAATTATTGATCAAATGCTCAATGATCAATCTTTGGTTTGGGTTTTTTTTATATAAATCCTTGTTTTTCTTAACTGTATTCTGTCTATAAAGCTAACACTCACTCTCAGAGCATCATTGGATATTTCATTTTGCAGAATAAGGAATCCTTCAAAACTATATTTGCACATAAGAGCCATTAAAATCTGAATTTGTAGCAATGTTGTCTCTTAACATCATGGAACTTAAATTAGGTAGAAACAAAGGCTAGATCAGAGAACTTCTCTTGTTGTATCTGTTTCAGGGCTCTGAGTCACAATCTTGGATAGAAATATAGTATATAGAGAAATAGAGCTGTTTCAATGATCCTTTGCCTTTCCAACTGTTTCAGTTCTCAGAGGAAGGAAACTTAACTAACAGAAACAGCAAAAGACAACAGTGTTTCTGTTTACTAGAGAAAATCCACTATCATTTGAATTGATTTGTAATGCACAGCAGATGCCTAACATAAGAGGAATCATTTATTTGTTATATGGGAGGTTTTTCTATTTTTTTCTTTTGTTTGTTCAAGACAGGGTTTCTATATGTAGCCTTGGCTGTCCTGGAACTTGTTCTGTAGACCAGGATGGCCTTGAACTCACAGATCCACCTGCCTCTGCTTCCTGAGTGCTGGGATTAAAGACTGTGCCATCATCCCCAATAGTTTTCTATTTTTAACTAGAGGATAAGGATGAGCTTCAGAGTGATGAATAAATATAGTAAGTCAGACAATTTCAGGCAATAGGTATTGATATCTGATTTTAGAATACTAAATGGAGATAACTTTCCTACCTTTCCTGAGGTTATGAGAACTATTGAGGTGTCTTTCTATTTAGTGAGATGTCCAAAATTTGTCCTGATTTCTTCAGGTCAACATTGTCTTTAAGATCTACAGAAAGAAGAATATACAGGGTTTCCCTCTAGCCTATGGTGTCCAGCTCAAACAGGAGATTCAGTTGACCTATATTCTTCTCTTATTAATCATGCTACTGTCATTGACAGATATTAGAGAGCCTTTCCCAGACTGCCAAGGCCGTAATCAAATTACCCACATAAAGTTCCTATAGTAAAAACTATTAGTTTTGTATCTTTGTTTTTAGAATCTACTATTTGATGTTTACTGATGATCACACATCATGCAGCTTCTTTTCTGGCATATTTATTATTTATGACTTTATAACAAAGTATTCTCTCAAACTTGGTACCTTTAAGCAATAGGATTGAGACACAACTTAGCTAAGTACAATTGTCTCTACTTTTTAATATAGTCACAATCTCACTGGGATCACCGAGAGCAGAAGGTGCAGGTCAATACATTTTCAAGCTCACTTGGGTATTATTAGGCTTCAGATATTCACTGCATGTTGACCAGATAATCTATCTTGTCACATAGCCCATCCCTGGGATCACTCACAGTACAGCAGCTGGTTTTCCTCAAAGTAACATAATCAAAGAAGAAGAGAGATACTGTGTATATCACTCTGTATGCTGTAGATGTGTTGCTCTGATTGGTTAATAAATAAAGTGCTGATTGGCCAGTAGTCAGACAGGAAGTATGGACAGGACAAAGAGAAAGGAGAATTCTGGGAACAGGAAGGCTGAGCAGGAATCACGAGCCAGACACAGAGGAAGCAAAATGTGAAGGCAGAACTGGGAAAAGGTACCAAGTCACATGGCTAAACATAAATAAGAATTATGGGTTA